CTAAGCCCTAAACCCCTAAACCGTGGGCATGGTGAAGGTCCGGAAGGTTCGCGCGCAAAGGCAACAATCGCGTTGTAGGTTTAGGATTTTAGCTTCAGAGTTGTTTGAAAAGCGTTTTTTCAGGCTTTTCTGAAAGGCATTATGAAGGTCCGCAAAGTTAGCGGGCATCCTGTGGGTTTAGGATTTAGGAAAGAAAGTAAAATGGTCTCTTAATGTTGTGGGAATCTGTGGGTGGGTGGGATGATGTCCGATACGGAAGTAGCGACCTCGACAAACCACTGACACACCTTTATAATTTGGTTCCTGTACAAGTATGGTAAAATTGACCCCAAAGGTCGGGTCATGTTTGTCAGCCCGCCTTCTAAGATGCAGGCTCCTCTGGCTTTGGGCTGCGGCACCATCAGCTCCTTTCACGAGGCGTGCTACGGCAGAGCCGAAGTGTTTGGGCCTGTTTGAAGATGAGCATGCCTATGCACATATATGCTTACGCAATACCTTACATTACCTTACATTACCTTACATTACCTTACATTACATGACATTACATGACATTACATGACATTACACTACATTTACATTACATTGCATTACATTGCATGACATTACGTTACGCTGCATTGCATGACACTACATGACACTGCAGGACGTTACATTGCAGTATATGACGTTACATTACATTGCATTAAATCAAATGACATTACAATATGCTATACAAACGTATTCGTTACTATCTTTATTATGAATATTGCAGCAGTAGCTACGCATCAACAACAACAGCAGCAACAGCATGCAACAGCAGCAGCAACAGCAGCCGCAACAGCAACAGCAACAGCAACAGCAACACCAACAACAACATCACCACCACCACCACCACCACCACCACCACCACCACCACCACCACCACAACAACAACAACAACAACAGCAACAACAACAACAAGCAACACCACCACCAACAACAACAGCAACAACCACAACCACCTCTGCCACAACCACAACCACAACGACAACGACAACGATCACGCTAACGACAACGACAGCGACAACGACGACAACGACAACAACAACAGCAGCAACAGCAGCAACAACAGCAACACACAGCAACGGCAACAACAACATCAACACCATCCAGAACCAACTATCAAAATCAACACCAGCAAGCAAGCAACAACAATCAGAGCAATCACACAAGAACAACCAACAGCAATACCAAACCAACAGCAGCAACAACAACAACAAGCAGCAGCAACAACAACAACAACAACAGCAAGAGCAACAGCAGCAATACAACCAACAGCAGCAACAACAACATCAACAACAACAACAACAACAGCGACAAGACCACCACCACCAACAACACCAACAGCAGCAACAGCAACAGCAACAGCAACAGCAACAGCAACAGCAACAGCAACAGCAACAGCAACAGCGACAGCGACAGCAACAGCAACAGCAACAGCAACAGCAACAGAAACAGCAACATCCACAACAACCACACCAACAACAGCAGCCACAACAACAACAACAACAACAACAACAACTTTTGATATGGTTTAGTATGTTGATGGATCATATCAGATTTTCCTCTGTCGTATTATATTGTACCTCATTCCAGTATGGTAACTTGTTATGTCATGTTAAGTCATTTCCGGACCGTGCATAAGATGTTGGATTGCAAGATTTTGCTGTGTTCATGATTTCGGTTGCTTGATATCTGATTTTGTTATCTTATGTTGTGTCCTGCTATGTTGACTGCAATGCATGGTTTTGTAGTCTACTGTGCAATGCTATATGATTCATGATGATGACATAAGCTTTTGCTGCTTTCTGCACGGTCGGGTGTATCAAGCTGTGTTTCTGTAGCCCACCCCAGACCGTCACTGCCTCTCCCACTTCATGATGCCGTTCTGGCCCAGATCGTTCAACGCACACTTTGCAACGCTGTGCTGTGGTGTACCGTGCCTTGCGCCACTGCCATCCGGAATGCATGTTTACGGGGCACTTTTGTTTAACTGCATCGATGGACTGTAGCAAGTTTGGTGTGCATATCCTTGGTTGTGCATAAATACAACTGCTTCGTTGGACATTGGAGACACTGGACGGTGCTGTCCCTTGCTCTGCCATGCTAAAGTTTTCTGTGCCATCCCAGCTAGCTTGCAAACTGCTCTGGTTGACTGGTTTTTACTATGAAAGGAAGCCGCTATTCTGCAGTATACCGCATTACCATCAGCTTGGGTCTTTCCGGCACATTTTCCGCAGGCACGCTATGACATTTTGTCGATTTTTGCTCTGAGAATCCTTATTCAACCTCGTTTCTACAGCCCGTGACCCTAAACCCTAAACCCTAAACCGGGGTCGTTCTTGAGTGGAGTCACCAATATAGGGAACTTTCATCTTTCCCTCTCACTCGCAATCCCTACACCCTAGACCCGAAACCCTAAACCCTAAACCCAAATCCTAAACCCTAAATCCTAAGCCCTAAACCCTAAGTCCTAAACCCTAGACCCTAAACCCTAAACCCCAACCCCAAATCCTAAACCCTAAACCGTGCAATGCGGGGGAGCCCTCAGTCGCTTAGGGCTGGATTGCTGACAACACGGGAAGCAGAGCACAGACTTTAAGCTTGAATGTTTGGGTTTAAGGTTTAGGGTTTAGGGTTTAAGAATGCGGGCTCCAGCAAACGACCCGCGAGTAATATAGGGGCCTCAATAATTAGAGTAGGGTTGGGGGGTAAGGAACCCCCAGAAAGTTCTTCTCACAAAGATCCCTGCAGGTGTCAGCAGCTGGTGTTGCCACTGCCCAAGCTGATGACTGTCGAATCCGTTGCATAGCATTGGCCGGTGAACTCTGTCTTGGTGGAGCCGGTCCCCGGGATGTATTGTTGCTCTGTTTTGGTCCTGTAAACCTGCCGACTAAGCCGCTAACATCCGGTTCACCTGGCATCATGACTCCTTCAATTTTGTCAAGGCTTGATGGCAGGTGAGGCTATTGGTATTCGCTCAAGGATAATCAAAAGGCCCGCGACCCTGTAGCAGAAGCCGGCCCGGCTCTCAACAACCCAATCCCAAACGAAGCGTCACACAGACGCAAGGCTCAGCCGTCGTTTTCTTCCTCTGCTCTGGCTTTCCGCGAGGCTTCATGGTTTGTAGGGAATTGTGGGCCAATTGAGAATGGCAGGGTTTCAGTTCTCCTGGACTTTCTCTGTTCAGGGCTTGGTAGTTTGGGCTTGCCACTGCTGCTGCGTGCTGCGACGACGACGACGACGTCTTCGACGCGCTGCCAAAGCTACTGCTACTACGTACCACTAATACCACTGCTACCACTGCTACCACTACTACTACTACTACTACTACTACTACTACTACTACTACTCCTCCTCCTCCTCCTCCTCCTCCTCCTCCTCCTCCTCCTGCTGCTGCTGCTGCTGCTGCTGCTGCT